TGCAGAAATCCAAACCAGTGCAACCCTTACCCTCAGGATCCTAGGAGGCTGGCTGTCAGCCCAGGGCCCTAGTCTCTTCCTCTTCCCAATAGCACCTCCTCAAAGTCCCACACACAAGCCTCTGCTTCCAAGTCACAAACTTACTTGATCTCTGGGGGTCAACTTGGGAAGGGACATCACTCAGTTTTATAGAAAAAATATTCTGTGACTGCATTAGACCCTTACTCTTAGTCCCAGTTCCTCCAAACTAAAAGGCTAACAGGTTAACTAGTCAGTGTGCAGAGGAGGGTCTAGCTGGCAGCAAGATGAGTAGGTGACTCTGCTCATTGAGAATCTCATAACTCATTTACAGGAAAGGACCTCAGGTAGCTTTAAAATGTGTTTGTCTTTGTCCTGCATCCTGGCCTAGAGCTCTACCAACCCTATTTCCTAAATGACAGGAGTGTCTTTTGGTGTTCATAACAATCCCCTTTGGGCTACATCTGAATTTATGTTAATGAAGTGGCTCAGGTGCCCTAGACAGTTTAGGATAGTAGCATGGCAGCTAGTCCCAGAAAGTCCAAAGTGTTTTCGGCAATGGAACTTACAGCTACCCACCCTCACTCCCTATTCTCAGATGTTTGGGGAGGGAGAGGAGAGGAAATGGATTTATAAAAACTTAAACAAGGACTGGGAAGGTGGCTCAGTGGTAGAGCGCTTGCCTTGCATGCATGAGGCCCTGGGTTCAATTCCTCAGCACCACATAAGCAAAAATAAAAAAGCCAGGAATGGCGCTGTGGCTCAAGTGGTAGAGCTCTAGCCTTGAGCTGAAGAGCTGAGGGACAGTGCCCAGGCCCCACGACCGAACCCAAAAACAAACAAACAAAAAAGTTAAACAATGAAAGGCCAGGCATGGTGGTACAGGACTGGAATCCTACCTGTTCAGGAAGCAGAGATAGGAGGATCAAGGTCTGAAGCTGGACCACAGGCAAAATTACAAGCCCTTACCTGAAAAACAACTAAAGCTAAAAAGGACTGGAGGTATGACTTAAGTGGTAGAGTGCCTATCTAGCAAGAATGAGGCCCTGAGTTTAAACAGTGAGGTGGGGAGGGCGGGGTGGATAGAGAGCACAGAGCTATCGGAAACAAGTAGACCTGCAGAGCTCCAGGATGGTGAATACATATGTGTACAGGGAGTGGCTTCACTCTAATTCCACAAAGACAGGGTCTTGTGCTCAGGACCCATCTGGACTTTGTCTTATATCCTTCTTGCTGATAGTATTCTTTAGAATAAACTCTAATGTCAGTCTAGTGTTTTCCTGAATTTTGTGAGTTGTTCTAGTGAATCATCAAAAGTGAAGTGGCAGCCGGGCGCTGGTGGCTCACGCCTATAATCCTAGCTACTCAGGAGGCTGAGATCTGAGGATCGCGGTTCAAAGCCAGCTCGGGCAGGAGAGACCGTGAGACTCCTATCGCCAATAAAACCACCAGAAAACCGGAAGTGGCGCTGTAGCTCATGTGGTAGAGCGCTTGCCTTGAGCTGAAGAGCTGAAGGACAGTGCTCAAGCCCAGAATTCAAGCCCCATGACCAAAAACAACAACAAAAAAGGGAAGTGGCATCATGGGATCCTCCAGCTTTGTTGTCAGCCAGGCAAGAAGTTTGGGTTCCTGGCAATTCTTCTTGTCACAGCTTCTGAAGTAGAAGCAGCCTTAAAACACAGACCCCTTAAGAGTTGGGAACTGTTATAACTCAAGGAGTCAGTGTCTGAGGTCAGTGGAATTGCTGGATGCCCAGCTGATGTCAGGAAGTACATTTGATTTCAGAAGTACTGTCAGAAAATATAAGCAGGGACCACTTTGATCTAAGATCTCAGCTCTAAAAGATTGGATCTATGACTCTGGGATATGAAAACAATAACTGGTAGCTAAGACTGGTCCCAATGCATTTATTTTCAATGAGATCTATAGCTTACTCTCAGGATAAATAAATACTGCTTCAGGGGTTCCTGCTGCTTGGTAGGTCTAAAATTAGGAGAAAGACAAGCGAGGAATCCCAGTGGATGGTGCTGTGGAGCTGTGCAAGCCCATCCCCACTAAGGGAATAAACAGCGGAACAGTATCCCCACTAGCCAGCCAAGACTCCCCTCCCAAAATTAGTTCTGGAAAGGCTAGCAGGTTCTTATCTCTTGGCTCCCACTTTCCCCCCATTACTTCATATTTTTACAGTCTATGTGACATGGTTCAAATTTTCTCCAGGTCATAAAAGTATAGTTACACTAATAGGGTCTCTCTTAGAAGCTTGCAAATGGTTGCTTCATCCTCATTGTGTGGGTAGGTGTGAGTTTTCTTCATCCCCAGTTCTTACATCTCAGTTCAGTGTCTTTTTCACAAATCTGGAGATTAGCCTTCAGTAGCCCTTGGGAACTGACTAAAAAGACTACAGACTACTGCTGGAGAAGCCACCCTGAAAGAAGCCAGGACCTCAGTGTGGTAAGACAAATGTATGCTATAGCAGCTGCTGCTGTCAGCTCAGATGACAATGGACTGCTGAACTTGCTCTATGGTGTGAGAAAGGTGGAGCTGTTTCACCAGATCCTGCTGCTATGTGCATGCACATGTGTATTGAGCTGTGCAGGTAGGAGGATGGCATGTAGAGTATAGAGCCTCGATCTGTTGGCCTTTTATTTTTTATTTCCTGTCTGTTGATAGCTGGTCTGAGAGGGAGGAAAGACACCTTATTTCTGAGCCAGTAACTAGCCTTGCCTGAAACCCCAAGAGTGTCTAACTAAGCCCCTTCTTTCTCCATGTTGGTTGGGAGCTGCTGGAGACTTCTCCCCACAGATGCCAGTAAGAAGGAAGGGCTAGTCTTGGTTTCCATTTCCCCATAAATAAAGGATTGGGCTGGGTCCCCTAAGAAGCTATTTTCTCTAGGGCTTGAGACACTAAGATGACCTCCAAAGCAGAACTTGGGGACCCCTTGCTCAGCAGAAGGAAAGTGTCTGGACAGAAGAAGGGCATAGTCTCCTACACTATGATTACCCCCACTTTCTCTCTTCCCCTAATTTTACTCTCCCCTCCCACCTATTTCCTGCGAGAACACCATTTGCAGCAATTCCCAGGATACTGCTATTTTGCGCATAGTACCAGAACCACAACTGAGATCACTCACACGTTTGTTTTTCCTGCCTCTACCGATGGTCCCAGGATTATGCTCTTGGAAATCCAAGTAGACCCACAGCTGCAGACAGCCTGGTAATTGCTTCAGTTGACCATATCATCCCCTAACACCACAAAGCTTGTTGTACGGTATCTCAGATATAAATCCAGTCGTGGGAAAACAGAGAAGCCACCTTTTGAGAGGTTGAATTGGGAATATTTACTAGAAAGCTGGTGTGTGCTTGACAGACTATTGTCTCAATAGTATAGCAGTCCCACACAGAGTTTGCACCAAGCTTTTAAAGGCAAAAACTACACGCTTAGGTGGAGACAAAGCCCAAATATAAACAAAAGCACAAGGAGCAGCTTCCCTGCAGCTAATTAACATAATACCTACATACCCTCTAAAGCGGAGACCTTTCCTTGCTCTACCTACTGAGCTAGGCATCTGCAATTCAAAGGATGGCCTGTCTCACCTCTAGGCCTCTGAAGCTGGGTAAATAGCTCTCATCACCTGGTTAGGCACCAGAATAGCTGTGAGAACAAGTCTTTCCCTAACTTCAAGCTGGGGACTTGTTCCACATAAAGTTTAAAGTCCAATAGTTTATGGAAAAGAAAGACTAATTAAGGGTTAAAACCAGAAGCCCCGGCAGCAAAAGGCTGACACATCTCCCTGTTTCAGGTATCATGCCCCGAGTTTGCCCTGAGAACCACCCTTCCCTTATTCTCAGTCCATCTGCTAGGAATGAAGCTAGACTTAAACCTAATCCCCAGCTCCAGGGTTGAGCTTTGGCTTGATCCGTAATGCCCTTTTCCCTGACTTTCCTCATTCCGTCAACAAAAAAGCAGTGCTAAAGTCATGCTCCAGTAGTAGAGTGCCAGCAGAACAAGCTGTGTGAATCTTGAGTGTGCCCCAGAATATCATGTCCAACAAAGCAGACTGCCTTTGCCACTAGGAAAGAAATGTGTGTACAGAGCATTTACTTCAGATTCAGAGAGAATAGTTCCCTACACAGTGCACCAGAGGAAACTGACAGAAGGTGGGGCAAGAGCAGTCAGGGATGGGCAGATGATGATAGTGGCTGGTAGAGCTAGGCATCCGAGTATGAAGAATGAGTGAGTAAATGTATGAATGAGTGAGTGAGTAGGTGAGGTACTTACCCAGCTCACAAGGAGGCACAAACCATGTCTATCCTAACCTGAACCAAGTTAAGCTCATCCAGGGAAAGAAGGGGTTCTGGCTTCAGAGGATGTGGATAAAGAGGACAATGGAATATGGCATGGACAGGGTCACAAAGAACAGAGCTATTTCCATGGAAAACATAGCCAACTGCCAGCCAGCGGCATGTAGGAAGTCTGAAGGACCAACCAGGAACAGTCCTGAAGAACAGTATCAGAATTGCTTGGTTGGTCTTACACAATGTGATTTAAATCTGTTGTTCTTCCTTTTTTAACTAAAATTTATTTTTAACTGATACATAAAACCATGAATATTGTACATATTTATAGGGTACTGTGTAGAGCTCGGATACATGTACACATTGTATAATGTTGAAATTGGGCTCAGAAGGAAGTGAAGGCCCAAGGTGTTGACCTAAGATTTTGGAGTCCTGATATACTTTCTTAGCCAATGTGAACTTCTAAATCCTCTCCAGCTTCCCCTTCCATTGAACCCAAGTCTTTGCCAGTCCAGCTGCCCCTATGGAGTCAGAGAACTCTCAGCCAATGTAGATAAGAATTCAGGATGCCTTCAGGACACTTTTGAAGCAATAAAATAAAATAAAATAGAAGAGGTTGTGAAATTATCCTGGAGTGAGGACTAGTTCTTCCTGGAGTATTTCTTCAAGTTAGATAAGCATTAGGGCTCAAGGGTTGATGTGGGCAGTCGTGTCATAGCTCTGATGGGGCAGTTTACAGATGAAAAGGAGCTTACTGTCACAGGAATCATCGTTCCAGGACTTGAGTGAGGACACTTTTATATTGCCACAGTGTTCGTTGTTTCCCAGATTGTTGGGCTCACCTGGAATCCAGAACCTACCCGAGTGAAAATACAAAAATATACTCACAAACTTAGAAAATAAAGAGCTTATCTCCAGTAGAGAAATGAGTTCTTAACAGGTGCTGGTAGAACATGCCTGTATTCCTAACTACTTAGGAGGCTGAGATCTGAGGACTACAGTTCAGTTATTTGGACTCTTATGTCTACATAACTAGCAAAACGCCATAAGTGAAAGTATGGCTCAAGTAGAAGAGTGCCAGACTTGAACAAAAAAGCCAAGGGAGAGCATGAGACCCTGAGTTCAAGCCCCAGGAGTGGTGTGCACATGTACGCATGCACACACATGCACACACACATACACACAGAGTTGCATTTCTTTCCATCTCAGCTTTGGTCTTTGTTATGATCTTTATACTCAAGCTTAAGAGGAAGGGGATTGGTAAAGTTCATCTCTAGTCTAAATTAAGGCCAAACAGTCTACCATGTTCAAGTCCCTACACAAACGCATACTGCAAAGACATAGGCTTGGGATAGGATCTCTGCCTGAGCTAAGTAGAGGGTCTTACTGTCAAATCCCATAAGACATGGAGGACCATGGACTCATCCCAGGTCCCACAGCCTGAGAGGCAGCAGTGAGCTGTTAGCTCCAGGATTCCTGCTATGTTAAAACAAGGGAAACAACCTCCACTCCTTCATGCCTTGGCTCTCACTCAGACTGGGAAGGAAGGTCCTAAAGGCTCACCTCTTACTCTGGACACTGTTGAATGGAGTGCCATCCACCCAGGACCAATTCCCTTCACTCCCTGTTTTAGTCAGGCCAATCCAATGCGGACGTCCATCTGCTGTCTTGTACAGAAACTCCTGTGGGGAATACAGAATGAACAGAATTGTCACCACATCCTGAAGTGTAAATATCTGTCTCTAGGCATTCTCTACTTGTGCTCAGATAGCTGTACACACAGCTTCTCTCATTCCTCTTCCTGCCCTTACTCAGAGTCCATCTTCCAAATTCTGATTTGTCTTTGATCTGCAACTAACAAACTCAGGACTCAGGTTTTTTTGCCCCTCAGGAAAGATACTGGAGTACAAAAAAATATTCAGCTAAATTTCAGATCAGGATCCTGATGGTGTGAATGATAATAACTAAATTCAAGGAATCCTTAAATGTGTAAGTCCTTCATACGTGTTTTCTCCTTTATTCTTGGAGGCAGGCACCATTATGATACGTGTTTCCTCGATGAATAGGCTAAGGCCTGAGAAGGTAAGTAGTCTATCTAGGGTTCTAGGACTAGAAGATGGTAGGTTGGGACTCTTGGCTCCGGAGCACATACTCTTAGCTGTACTGATTGCCCTGATGGAAGAGACCCAACTCATAGAGTACCTCTCCAGAGAGGAGACTTCTTGAGTCACGCAGTGCAATTCATGGTATTTGCAAATATTTCTGTTTCTGGAAACATGCAAAGAGCCCCCCTTCCTTGTCTCTTTGAAGCGAGGAGTACTGTACAATTTACTTCCACTAGGGACATCTGAGCAGAAGGGACATGTGTTCTCTCTGGGCAGAAGCTTTAAGAGCCCTTTCTATGCTTCAGTAATTATAACTTCATGTGAAGATGAAGTCTTTCTGGCTTAGGTCCTTGAGTATGACAATGAGCAGAACCCACCTATCAGCCCTTGCTAGGTGGGCAGCATCAGTGAGAAATAAACTTTTCATAGGTAGATTGCTGACATTTGAAAACTTCCACTATCACCATATCATCTTGCCCAGCCTCTGGGAAACATTGGCCCCCCACACCCTTAGAGAGCCCATAGAAACAATCCTCACCTGCTCAGCCTCTGAGGTCACTGAAGCCAGGTTTGAATTCCTGGACACACAAAACTGCTGAGCACTGTACCAGGTCTTTGGAGTATGAGAAAAGTAGTAGAAGTTCTCTCTGAAGTACTTCCAACCTTGGGAAACCATCTGCAGAACATCATCTGGAAAACAGGGGCTGGTGGTTAACAGGATGTACCTGGTTCCGCAGAGTACTGTCTGGGGGTGGAGTAGAATCCCAGAGATATCAGTGAATAGAACAGGGCTCTGAGGTCCTTAGGTCCTGGTATGAGGGTTTGAGGACATTCTCTTGGATCTTCAAAGTCTGACTGAGACTGATGGATAGTCTCTGGGGTTAGAGAAGAAGCAAAGAAATAACCAGAAATCTGTTTTTCCCACATGGGAGAAGCAATTCTTCATAGGCCATGACAAATGGCTGAGCTTCTAAGTTCAAAGGAAGAAAGCTAATGGGAAATGGCAGGTTTGTGCCAGAACAGAGACCCTCTAATACTTTCACACTCTGCATCTCAGTGATGCCACCCAAACTGGGTCCTGATATCTTCTCTCCTTATAGCCCATAAGTCCTCCTGAACCCTAATGCTAAGCCCTCTCTTTTTAATTAGTCCATGCCTGCCCACCTCCTTTGCTACCCTGAGCCCTGCTCACTCACCAGCCCAATGCCCTCACATCTAACTCAGGTGAAGTCTTATAGGTCACTGAGCAGCTTACAATGCTCTTTTTAAGTTACTTACTTTGTTCTTTGAGCAATTTGCTGATATTCTCCAAGCTGCTCTGTAGTCCCTGGACCTTTGCATGTAAAGTATTGGCTTTATCAAAATCTCTTTTCAACTCTGGAATTTGGCTATTTAAGGAATCAACTTCCTTCCAACTTCTTGTTAAGTTCTGGATCTGTGCATTGGCTTTGTCCACACTGTTCCTCAATGTCGAGATGTGAGAATTCACCTGATCAAGGCTAACATGCAGCATCTGGATCTGACTGCCAGCTGCCTCCATGCCTTTGCTGTTCTTCAGAACTTTAGAACCAAGGGTGCTGATGTTATCCACACGACTTTTCAATACCTGAGCATCAGTCTTTACATCTGATAGTGTGCCCATCAGCCAGGGATCTGGATTTAAGAAAGTCAAGAGGTCAATTGAGGAGATACTTAGAGATTCTAAAACTGTTGTTCTCATCCTGCTGGCAGGATGTTAGTTCCTAAGGAACTAAGATAGTCCAAGGATTGTAGCCACCTCCCTACAATCATTCACTAAGGTAAAGCAAGCATGCAATGGGCATCCATCATGTGCTAAGAATGAAGGTGATGCATACAGTAAGAAGACAGATAAAACATGGACTGCCTCTGAGAGATTTCATGAGCAAGCAGAAGCAGGGGAAAATCCAGTCCTCAATTTCCTTTGAGGATTCAGAGTACACTGAAGTGAAAGGATGCCTTCAATCACCTCCTTGTCACTCTCTGCATCACTTAGTCCCCTTTGGGCATGACAGAGTTGATCCCCTGCCCTCTACTTTCAGAGACCCCTCCAGTCTCCCACATCTCCCCATGGGCTGGGCCCCTTCATGACAATGGGAGCTCCAGCGTATAGTCTCCCAGTTCAGAACATGGAAAGAGAGATTTAAGCCATCTCTCTCTTTCCTTTTCCCCATCTCTTTTCACATTTGTCTCAACTCACAGTTTTGGAGTGCCATGTAGAAGACTAGAAATAAACCAAGAATGGTCAAAGAAAGTCCTAGGTTTAAGATTAGGGGTCTGGAATGGAGTAAATGATGGATTTGGGGTAAAGAGTAGAGTCTACAGCCTCAGATTGAGTATATTACGAGGCCTTGAAGAACGAAAAATTATATTCCCTTGCTCTGCTCTCTGATGATCCTGCAGAAAGAAATGGGCTCTACCAGAAGAGGCAAAACAGATGAAGAGGAAGTCTCCACTGGCATGATCTTCATCCAGACAAGACAATGAAGAAAACATGAAAGAGTCCCAGTGCATGAACTAAATCTTGGAAATGTGACTGCTCATTGGCTAGCTTCTCCACCTCATCAGTCAGGCCTAGGACACACTTGGAACTCAGTCCCTCATTGAGTCAAGAAACATCGCACTTACTGTCAGAGACTGTCCACAAGGATCTGAATCCAAAGGACCCAGAGCTAAGAAGGACAAAGGGGGGAAAGTTGCATGAAATTAAAAACAAAAAACTAGGTAACTTCCTCAAGATAGAAGACTGCATCCTTGAAGACAAATGTGTGAGTACTGATGTCATTCAGAAAAACCTTCCAGAAACTGGAAAAGGAAGTGAAGTGGCTCATCTCACTGGGACAGAGCACACTGAAACTACAGGTACAGAGGAGAAATGAGGCAATGAAACACCACAGGTAGGAGAGACAGAGGAGAACCAGAAAGAGAAGGGTCTATATCTCCAGGAAGCCAACCGGCCAGAGATCAGCAGACAAGAAATCCTGAGGACTTACACAGAATGACCTGAAGGACAACAGAAGTGGCCAGGGTCAGTGACAGACAGATTAAAACCACACGAACGGTAAGAGGTTGTCTCAGGACCAGATTCGGACCTTGCTTAGGAAGAGTCTCTGGAAAAAAGAAAAAGAAAAAGTCATGTTAAGCACCAATTAAAGGTAGATTTCGTCACAGCATCTAGCAGGTGCCAAGCAGCAACTCATACTTGCCTGGGGTCCAGAGGGAGATGTTCTGTTTGTCCACTGTGAAGTGGGCACTGGAGGCCTCCTCTGTAGCATTCATCTTGTCCTTGTAGCACAGGTATTCTAGTTGCCTGTCTCTCCAAAGATCTTTTATTTAAAGAAAACAGGAAATGAGTCCTACAGCAGGTCATTATGTCATCCCAAAGTTCCCCATTCATGGCTTACATATCCTGCCTGGCCAAGACCACAGCTTGGTCCTCTCCTCAAAGGTCTGGGCTTTTAGGGAGAAGCCATTTGTCTTCTCTCCTGTGGAATGACACTCTATCTTGTCCAAAGTTATCCTATTTCTCTTGTAAAAACTGTCACTCAAGCAGTTCACAATCTGATAGGAAAGACAGATATAAGCAAATCAGTTATAGTCCAAGGTGCTGAACTTAGCAATAGATGAATATGCCTGGTTCAAAGAAAGTACAGAGAACAGAGTAATGGGGGATATTCCAGGCTGAGGGGTGATCAAAGTCAATATATGGGATAAGACAGTGTAGAATGCGTGAGAATGTGTAAACTATTCTAGTCATGTGTAAGTGTAAAGTTTATGACAGGAGAGGAAGAACATGGGGCTAAGGAGACACCTGAGATCAGATCATGAAGATCCTTTCGGATTGTCCTCTGGCTTATGGAGCCAACAAAGGGCTTCAAGAAGAAGACAAGACCAAGGACATTGTAGAAAGATTACTTTGATGACAAGAGGCTTAGAATGGCGTGTAGGAGATCTGAAAGTAGGCAGACCAGTTAAGAAACCACTGGAATAAGATATTTGACCTTATTTTGTGAAGATGTTTTAGGAGTTACAGCATCCCTTTCTAAAATGAGGACGCTTAAAGGTTTAAAATGTAAATGTGAGATTCGGATTCTCCTCTCCCTGCTTCTTGACTTTGGGTATCTCAAAAAAGCAGAGAGGATCGACAACATCAGACTAACCACCTTTCTTTTTCCCTTTTTCACTCTCCTTTTTTTACTTACCTTCTTTCTCTCCCTGCAATCCTAAATGTACAGACTTTTTTTTTTTTGTCAGTCATGGGGCTTGAACTCTGGGCTTGGGTGCTATCCCTCAGCTCTTCAGCTCAAGGCGAGCGCTCTACCACTTGAGCTACAGCGCCACTTCCAGTTTTCTAATGGTTTATTGGAGATAGGAGTCTCATGGTCTTTCCTGCCCGTACTGGCTTTGAACCATGATCCTCAGATCTCAGCCTCCTGAGTAGCTAGGATTACAGGCGTGAGTCACCAGCGCCCGGCTAATGTACCGTCTTATGTTTAATAAATGCTTTGGGCACAGAGAAGTCATTTGGGGCTCCATGAAGGAGTAAATTTTCACCTAGTATGGTTTTTATGTTTTAGAGAAATCTACTAAACTTGAGAAACTTCATACATAGCACACTTGAGACAAATATTTCTCACAAGGTAGGAAAGAGGAAGTAGAAAAAGGAGGCAGAGAATAGGAAGTTTGGTACAATTAATCAAATACAATTAATTGGATGGATAGATATATTGGTAAGTAGGTGAATGGAAAGAAGGAAAGAGGGGCAAATAGATGTATGGGTGGGTGTATGTAAGTATGTATGTATGTATGGATGGATGGATGGATGGATGAAAAATTAATAATTTAATAGGTGGAAAAAAGACTGGTGGATAAGTGAATAAATGAAAAATGAATAGACTAGCACATGGACAGGACTGATGGATGCGTAGATGAGCAGAGGACCAATAGATGAATACAGTGATGGATTTATGGATGGGTGGATTGATGTTGGGTGGAAGGTAAATGAAAGATTTGATAACTGGTCGTGACTCTGCACAGTCTGTAGAGTGGGATCTGCCTTCCAAAAGCTACCATATCTTTCCACCACCTCCAGACATTCACATTTCCAAGAAAGAGGCATAAGGTGTGACTTATTCCTTATCCTAAAATGAATAAGTGGGACTAGAAAACAGGACTGTCCTCACTGAATCTAAGCACTGGCACTGAATGATGTGATCCCTAACATCACATGTTACAGGCTTAATGAAAAGGACCAAAGAAATAGCTACCTACACTTTGCCTGGGACTTGCTTTTGATGTTTGGGGGTCTCCTTCCTTCCTGCTAAGCATAGTCACATCTGGCAACCCAGTGTACTTATAGCCCCTTGCTACTCTCTGGGCTTTCTGACTGGGTTCCTTCTAGAGCTGAGTCTATGACTGGATGAAGGAACACGGAGAGGACTTCAAACTTTCTCCCTCATCCTCAGGAATGAAGTCAGAAAACAAAGACAGTGCTCCATTTACCCGGTCTCATGTTCTCCCTAGCCAATTCTGTCTGTAGCTTCCATGCTGCTGTCTGCATCTCACAGGCCTGCTGTCTCCTCTAATCCTTGGCATCAGCAACTTCCTAAACTAAGGGCCAGACTCTAACTCACTGCCACTGGACTTTAGTGAACATAACTGCCTTCTCCAGGCTGCTAAGAGCCTTGGTTCTACCAGGGCTTAAAAAAAAAAGCATTAAAATCAGGGCTTAAAAAAAAGCATTAAAATGTTCTGCTTCTGGACCCAGTCTAAGCCCAGAGTTATCTCAGCCCTTCTGCCCCTGACTCCTAGCTCTGCATCTACAAACCATTACAATCCAGGGCTAAGAGGCAGAAAGGGATCTAAGTTACTCAAGATCCTGATGGAAGACACTCTTTAGGGGTCCTAATTTCTTGTGGGGGCATTGAAGAAGCTACCACACAACATGTTTCGGCGGTGTCTGCTCCCGTCCTGCTCTGTAAAGAAGTTGACTTTTTCAACGTCATGGTTAGTTTGTAGGATGAGTTAATGATAGAGCCCCAGGTGGAACCCCTCCCTCAGTGGTTCTAGGAAGGATCAGGAAGTCTCACCAGGCTACGGCTTGCTGAGTAAGAGAAGATTGGGGAGTATTTGTTCCAAATGACAGAATTAAGACCTCAAGAAGATATGCTATAGATCTCTAAGCCAATGGGTGACCCAGCTATTGAAACCCACAGTACTTGGCTGTTGGCTTCCTGGGGTTTCAGAGGAGATAGGTGTAAAAGTCCCAACCCAGAAGAAGTTTCATTTCCTACTTTACATGGAAGAAGAAAGTCATAAGCTATTGTTTATGCCCATGTTTGGCCATAGATATTCACTAAGCACAAATTCTGTGAGATCCTCTGGATGCTTTATTTGGGCCCCTGAGGCATGAGGAAAACAGACAGATAAAAGGCAGGTGTCCCTGCCACACCTTCCTTCCAGTAAAGTAGACAATTCTCCAGTACACTCAGGATGGGCCTGCTCTTCCTAATAAAAGAGGAACTTTGGCCTAATCTGGAGTGACCAAAAATCACTGCTGTGACAAGAGAAAGGGAAGTCTGTGCTCACTTTCATGTTTCCATACTTCTGGGGTTCTAAGACTTTCTCTGAATGAAAACAGCTCCACCACTTTTTCTCCTTGGAGGTAGGCTGACAATATCAAGAAGCATGGAAAAGAAACTCAAGTTGTTTGAAACCTCCCAGAAGTACTGAGAGTCACCTATCTTAAAGGAGTAATCTGAGGTTGGGAGCCCATGGCCATGCCTGTAGCCCTAGCTACTCAGGAGGCTAAGATCTGAGAATTGCAATTCAAAGCCAGCCCAAGCAGGGAAGTCCATAAGACTCTTATCTCCAGTTAATCACCAAAAAGCCAAAAGTGAGGTATGGCTGAAGTAGCAGAACACCAGCCTTGAGCAAAAATGTCCAGACCTTGAGTTCAAGCCCAAGTACTGGCACATGTACAGACATGTGCCAGGTGCACACACACACACACACACACACACACACACACACACACACACACACAGGCTGGTAATCTGAGTACCTCCACTCAAGGCATGAGTAGTAGACAACAAGCTGCAGAGTGGGAAAGGGAAAAAGAAAGGAAGGAAGGGTCAGAATAGACTGGAGAGTAAAGAGTGGGTGGCTATTTGAGATAACTATTAGAGCTGATCTACAGGCTTAGAGGAGAGTCTTATACCTAATGTAGAAGGGAATTTGACTAGAAGAATCAAGATCTTCAAGGAATTCCATGAGCCCCTGTGGATATGAGTCCTATTGAGCTATAATTTAGTACCTATTGGTCAACCTGAATGGAATTAATTTGCTATACTTAGAGACCATAACCCTCCAAATTTAACTGCTCCAAACAAGGAACTTTTTCTGCCACCTGGAAAAGGCACAGTTTAGTTGGGAGGAGGAAGGGGGGATAAGCAGGCCTGAGGAAGGGAGCAAGATAGGGAAGGAAACAAAAGGTGGCCACCATCTCAGACTTCCAAGACTGAGCCTGACCTGGGAAAAGGGAAAGATGCCAATTTGATGAGAGATACACTTCGTTGATTATTTGACTGGATTTTTCTGTATATAAATAGGATCAGAAAAACTACTTACCTGAAATTCCATCCAGGAATGAGGAAGAATAAGTTGGGGAAGCAGGTTTGAAGGAGGAATTATAAGAAACAGTGAAGTTGCCTTCTACTTGGTATCCTGGATATAGGCTATTTAACTGTTAAAGAGTCCTCAGAGAGCTAGGTGCCGGTGGCTCACACCTGTAATCCTAGCTTCTCAGGAGGCTGAGATCTGAGGATCACAGTTCAAAACCAGCCCGGCAGGAAAGTAATCCATGAAACTCTTATCTCCAATCAACTGTGGCTCAAAATGATAGAGTGCTCGCCTTGAACTGAAGAGCCGAGGGACAGCCCCCAGGTCCAGAGTTCAATCCCCACAACCAACCAAAAAAAAAACAAAAACAAAAAGAGTCCTCAGAGCTTTAGAGATTCTAGACTCAACATGGGATACTAATCATAGCCTTTCCCTTCATCCCACATCCCTAGGCATTCTTCCCAGGCCACATAAAATGAACTTCCATGGTAAATTGACAATTGTTTTCTTGAACAGAGAAGGACAGGAGATAAAAATGAGTGTAGCTTCAACCATCATGGGGAAGAGATGTTATGAGACACCCAAAGAGAATCCCCAGGGTGAAAGCTATCCCCTTGACCACACAGGTCAGGAGTTAGCTCCTAAGCAAGGAGGAACTG